CTGAGATGTGTAGATTGTAGCCTGTTTTGTTGCTTGCTTGCAATTTCTTTCTTGTGTAATCTCAATAGACACAACTTCATTTATATTATTATTGTTATATACATTATTCATTTTACAAGCTCACTTGTTTCTAGCTACAGCTACAAACTTCAGTGACGACTATATTCATTCGGATTTGGTCTCTTGGGTCCTTGGAGCCAAACCAAGATCTGGAACGGCTTCACCTGCAAGTGAAAGTAAAACCACATAAAACCTTGAGGGGACGCTAAATTCCACTGCAAGGATACAAAACGAAAGCTATACCGTGCATTCGCTTGACAAATCTCTCAAACTCTTTGAAGTTTTGAGACTGCATCAGAGTTGGGTTAAGTCTCAGGTAAGTGAAACAAGATAGATGGCGACCATCAGGATCGGTAAGAGGCTTTGCGTTTTCAAGTATTTTGTTGTAGCCTTCTCTATCATAACAAGGAAGAGCATTCTCACTAGCAACAGGTATATTAACATCCCAAGCAGCATTCAGCACCTGAAAAAATTAACACGATAGCAAAATTGGGGAGGTAAGATTTTGACCTAAACCAGTCAAAGCCAATCACTTACCGTAAACTGAAGAAGTTTTCACCTGCCAAACTAGACCTTCTGGATCAGCCAGTGCCTCTGGATAATCCTCGTGTTGATCAAGTGTTCGTAGCTCCACGCATGTGAAGTTAAGAGCAGCATCATGTTTCTTCAGCATTGCGGCTATTGGACCGTAGCCATCACGATTTGAGGAGTTGTAGAAGCCAGCAGTGAGTTCAGCAGCATGACTAGCTGTTTTATACCACCAGTGTATACCTGAGAGCTGATCTCCAGATAATAGAATGCAAAACGATTCGATTAGCACAATCCGGGGAAAATTATGGTGAAATATTTCACTTTCCCCACCAATAGAGCTTTGTTTACCTTAGCAGCAATGCGAATTTCTTCGAAAGCCAAATTTGCCATAGCAAGAACACGATCGCCATGGTCAATCAGAACTCGTGAGTACCAATTAAGAAAGAATCTACCGTAGTAGCTGTCATAGTCACCTCCATCACGAAAAAATCCAGTCCCATGTGGTGTTGAATTATAAGACTCAGTGTTATCAGGTCCTTTGCCCCAAAAGCTGTGCCCTCTTACCTCTGCAGCCTCCTGTAAGTTCTTCATCAAATATTTATCATAGCACTGCTCACAGCAAAGAAGATAAATCGATAAGTAAAGTAGTAAATCGATGGTCACTTACCATAACAGTGGAAAATAGAATGTAAATTTGTAGGTGCTTATGCTGCATGAAAAAAGAGTACCTGGAATTCACCAATACCAGGATATTTCCACCCATGTTGTGCAGGGTATGAAGGATACCTCAGCTCCCCACATGGACCTAGTCCAACTTCAATTTCAGTGATGATATTATCCGCAAAGAATTCATCAAACTCCACCCGAAAGCTTCGCATGTAATCAAAGTAAACCTACAAAATATATAAGGAGGTAACTCAACACAAAGTGATTTGCATATGGACTTCCAAAATGGACTCATATTAATCAATTTTGCCTACCATAGAGATTACAGCATAGAGTAGAAAATTCATACCTCCAGAGCAGTCCGTCCTCTTAAAACCCGTTGCTTGTCAATCCCCCAAGTAAGGCATTCAGTGTTACGTATGCCTGCTCTGTCAGTGAAGTATATGTCAGGATTGCTTTGACCAATTTCTCTCACCCATTCAGGGAGTTGTATATGCACATCATCTCCCACATTG